CCCTGTGTGCCGGTGTTGCACAACCAGCTGTCTATGGCCATCTCTCTGGCAAATGGAAGTTTTTATTAGAAATAGAATTTACAGTGTGACACAGGAACACCTCAATAAATTCTTTTTGGAGCTTTGCTAAGCATCTGCATCCCAAATATGAAGCCCACGGCTATGTGAGAAATGTGAAAATTGTGCTGATTCTTTAACCTAAGGATATGTTATTAATATGCTTATGTTAAAATAAATATATAATGTAAAATTGAGTGTTGTAGATTTTATCATTTTTCATTTTGAAAGAGTAAGACTGAATTTAGTTGTCTTTTCTAAAACTAAATTTATTTGGCCATAAACTCTTATAATTACTTATTTAACATCCAAAAACATAAAACAAAATCAAATTTGTTGTGTAGAGAGATAATTAAATCATATGTTCCTTTGTGTGTCTAAAATGAATTTAGTTTATGACCAATGCAATTTTTAATTATTAGAGATGTAAGTTAAAGTGATTTAAGCACACTATACCATTACAATTTCTATAGTATGACAACATTCTTAATAATAGCCCATTCATAATTTTCTTTGAAATCTTTGATTTTATTCAGTTGTTTTCTCAGACGATGGAGCATGTGAGCAATTTACTATTATGGGGCTAAACATCCGTTTTGTATTAACTTCTTTAATGATGTGCACACCAGTTAAATGTAATATTTAGAATGTAAAATAGTGTTATTTATGTAATATTAAGTGTCTACTTAACATTTAAATTCTGTCTTCAAGTGAGTTGAAAAATGAACAAATAACAATAAAATGAACATTTTATTTTGAACATTAGACATACAGGTCTTCATGTCTTTTCTCGGCTAATGGGACAGAGATTAAATAATGGTGTCACACCAAAAACAATGAACATGAAGTTCTCTTGTCTCTGCTGATAGGAGAAGGACGTGAAGATTAAGTGCTTTGTACCTCCAGAAATAGAAGTTCCCTCCTGAGATGCTGTGAGAACTGGGCATCAGTTAGCCTTGCACAATTAGTCTCTAGTAAATTATAATCTTTCTCTTCCACCATTTTCTGCCATTCAGATTCCAGTTTTCTTATTCACAGCTGAGAAAGAAAGAAGTCTCTTTGCTGAAACCTGAGACTTGCCCAGGAGTGAGCACAGAACAAAAGCCCCAGTAGTCCCCACACAGTCCATGGTGGAGTGCCTGGCCCTGTACTGGGATGGGGCACCCATAGACTTCTAATGACTGTGGATCCAGACCCTAAAAATTGCATAGAAAGGATACCCATGAAGTAGACTCGTGGCTATGGATCTCTCAGAGCATTTTCCTCTCAAACTTACTGTTCCTAGTGTGTCAAGTCAATCAAAGTGTACCTCAAACAGGATGATTATGGTTGTGAAAGAGCAAATTTCTTGTGAACCACATCACCACATCGTCTTTGCTGGTAATGGGCTAAATGCTGCACCAAGAACTACAGCTCCCTGCATTTCTTTTTTCTTTTTTAGTTTTTGTTCAGAATTTCTTACCTGCCTAGGATTTGCTTTATCCCATTTACCTGTAGGAGCAATTTTTCTAATCACCATTTTCTAATTTGTTTTATTTCTGCTTATCTTTGTACGATCAAGTAATATAACTGTCCTTCTTATACAGATGGTGGTAACGAGGTTTTTTGGTGTATTATTACAGATTACAATTACAATTAAATATTTATGACCTCTGCTGCATGATGCATGGTAGAGGAGTACAGGGAGGTATGATGACAGGGGTGTCAGAAGAAGGGACTATGACCTGCTTCCCATACAGTAACTTCTGGCATACAGAGAAGCTGTAGGCTACTAACGAAGGAGCGTGGTGTGCAGTATATCATATGTGTAGCTTTCTGACACACTGTGATGTCAGACGGCCTTGGTCTGGTAAGTAGGGAAAAGGTGCAGCTTTGGCTGTGCCTCGCTATAAAATCTGTGGCAAGAGGCTTTGACGGTAATTAATGATGCTTTGGCCAGCTGCTTTTTCACAACAGAAACAGTAAAATAAAAATAAATAAAAATAAATAAAAATAAAATAAAAATAATAAAAAAAAAAAAAACACATAAAAATAAAAATAATAATAATAAAAAAATGCTAAACTACAAACTTCAGCAAAAGAGTAAAGTTCAGCTGCTGCATATTCAAAGCCCATCTCTGAGTAAGCCTTCTTCCATTGACACACACCCTTCCTGCATACAAAATGCTGGTGCATATTTATATATTCACAAACCATGCCCAATATTTCAGCATTCACAATTATTTACTATGCACAGGTATGCAGTCAAAATTCAGGTGGCATCTAATTTCACATACTCTAAATTCATCTCCAGACCATATTATTATACTCCAAGCACCTGCAGAATCATAAGGTATTTCAGAACTGGGGATTTTATCTTCATTTATTCCTCAGCCTCTGTACTGCAGTTCTTGCAGCATTATGCAATGCACAGCCAAATTTATCTCCTGGTACATATTGGTTAAGCTTATATGCCTATAAGCACAAATAGCCTATCACAATGTTAGTTCTAGTAAGGGGATATAGACAGGAAACACAACTCAAAAGATACATGTATAAGGAGGTTTGTGTTTGATCTTTATTTTATTTTAAACCAGCAAAAAATTTTGCTTCTTTGGGGCTTTCCAAAGAAAGTGACAGATGAGTTACTGGGCCTCAGACAAGCCAATGCCAAGAGCACACTTGGCAGAATTTATGAAATGTCTCCCAAATTCATCTTTACAGGAAAATGACCATTTAGCTGGAGTGAAACAGCCCACTCTGTTCACTACTATGATATATATATATTTCTTTTATCCTTTTGTGCATTAAATATAGGAACATGAATGGTTTTTCTCTTCATGAAGTGCATGATTATTATACTTTATTTAAAGAAATCAAGAGGCATAAAAATAACTGTGAATGACTACAAGTTATTCTCTTGTGCACTCCTGACACTTGAGTTCTCATCACACATCACTCACAGTACTAGTCTAATTTTAAAAATCAAAGCTATGGTAAGAAGTGTTCTTTGAAGGTTAACCTGAATGCAAAGTCTGAATGCAAATCTAAAAAACTGCCATAAATAAATATGGCTTCTTTCAGTGGTGGGATAAATACAACATGCTTCCTTAGATTGAATTAAAAGTCCTAGGTAAATTCTAATTTGATTATTTGTTCCTACGATGGGAATTTTTTATGACATTTTTTGTGTCTGTAACAGAGGATCTTGTATTCATTCTGTAACTGGATTTATTTTGAAGAGAAATTCAGGTTGAAAAAAAAATAAAAAATAAAAACAAATAAAAACACACAAGATATCTAGTGACAAACACATAAAATAAATAATTGCAGATAAGACTGGGAAGGGCATAGGTGTACTTCAGAATAGCACTTATTTCCATATAGTGGGATGTGCATGTTTCTGATGAGAAAATTCAGTAATTATTTTTAGATAAAATGCACAAAAGAAAAAGAAAAAAAAGAAAAAAAGCAAATGCTTTATAAGAAAATATGCAGATAAACAGATAAACAGGGAGAATGTAATCTCGACAGAATAATTTCTGGAAGAAATGCATGCAGCTAATGTTGCATACACCATATGCTTCTTACCATTGAAGAGAATGCACCAAAAATATGTGTGGAAGATACATAAGTACCCATGTAAACTTGAAAATATCTTCTTTTAAGATTGAAATGATAATAAAAATAAATACCTTTGTACTTGCTGAAGTTTTGTGACAAATGCAAGACTGAAAAAAATATAAAACAATAATAAATAAATAAAGCTGTAATAAAAAATTACAGTTTTGCAGTTGGAACATATAATTTCTTCTTAGCCACCAATCTAATAGTCTAAATAACTCCTATTAATCCTATCCAGACCATGGTTTAGGCCTTATCTTGTAAATGATCACAAAATGCTTGTATTATTTGTTATATATCAGATTTAGTCTATAATTCCTTGAGATAAAATTCTGTTGTTTATTTAAAACATTGCCAAACCTGTTGCTGTAGTGCCATGGTCAGATTCATAGGGTTACATACCTTCTCTTTCATCTGTAATTGGAGTACTTACTTGCTGTATTTTTTAGCAGGGAAATAATCATTTCTATAAGGAAACTATAAGGAATAAAATGTGTATGTTAACACTTCATGGCATATTTAGTACTGTTTTTCAACTCTTATCACATAGTAATTAGTTATCATTTTGGTGGTATTTTATTTCCATAGCTAGACAGAATTCTCTATCTGTGAGTTAGCATTATTTTGACAGGTAGCAAATGACAGTATGTTTTAATATTAAATGTCATAATATTTAAGTCATGCTTGTAGCACCTGCATCACATAAAAAGTTTATTACAAATATGTTTCAGTGCAAACAAGCAAAATAGTTTATTTCACTAAAGCTGTGTCTAAAAGTGAACTTCAATGAAGAAAAATAGATTACAGGCAAAGGCCATCTCTAAAGTGTTCACATAATTATCCATTTAAATAAAGATATCACTTACATGCTTTGCTCAAACAAACATCATGTCTTTTTTCCTACCCACGTTTCTATAATTCCAAAGTTTTCCCTGTCCAGTGTCAGGTATTACAGCTGCTATTTTTGTAGTTTTAGAGACTGTTCAAAATGAAGACTGTTGGGTGAAAGATATCTACAAAATAAAATATAAGCCAGACAGCTGCTATAAATGTGTATGGAAGAAAATGGAGCCCCTTTCCTTTGCACCATGTAAGGACCTAGCATTTTGTTCTCTTGGCAAGACATCAAAAAATTTCCTTCCTGTGACTCATCTGCAACCTGCAAGAGGAATGTCTCAGAAACACGTGCCTTCTTCCAAATATTCACGTCTCACTCTTATATAAATAAAACTTCCCATAAAAGAAAAATTATGTCTTGGGGAGTAATGCATATTCAAAATAAATGTATCTCTGAAATTTTTTTTAGAAAAGTAAAACTAGCCAAAGAGCCACTCTATAACTTGTTGCAAAAATTAACCTTTTATTTAAGATTATGGACTTTGATCTACAGCCGTTACTTACATGAATAACTTCTCTGTGAGTGAGATCCACAATGGCATTTCACAGGGTTTTACTAAGTAAAAGCAGTTGAGCTGAAACCTAGCTGTAAGAAACATGTTCTTTTAAATTAAAATGTGTTTTTATAGGGGAAGAATAGCCAATAAATTCCAATTAAAGTTAATTCTTTTAAAAACTCGAATGTCTGTTGTAATAAAAGCTTCAATGAAAATAAAAAGTACCAAGTACTTGAGGGTTCAAATGCTAGGTATATTTCCAGATAACTAGGCAATCCATACCAAGATATGTCTGAGGAAGATTGTATTTTTCTAATCTTTCCAGAAGCCTTCTCCAAAATGGGCAAGAGACTTGAAATCAGGCTGTTCTGCCAGGCATCCAAACAAATTATCCTGATCTTGATTATGCAGATTTTCCTGGACTCAAAGAAAATATTTACTCCTTGAAGAAAAAAAAAAAAAAAAAAAAAGAAAGAAAAAAAAAGTTGTGCATTATAACATTATATCAGATTTCAGCCCTGGTTAGAGGTTTCATATAAGTTTGGACATTTAAAGGACAGGGAAATACTATTTACATGCCATCACCTAATAGTTCAATTTTTCCAAACTAATTGCTGAAGGTTTCAGATTATATTTTTTTCCAAGACAACTTGTTTTTCCACTCTCTAGAACCTGTTCGTTGATTCTAATAAACTTTGGATTAGATTAGTGCATGGTTTGTGGCCTTGGATTGAGAAGCAGCAGTACTTACTAGAAGCTTGCTTCACCCCACAGTAGAAAGTATCCTACAGCACTAGAGTAGCCTGAAAGGGAAATCTCCTCTCTGCGGGTGATGACATTCAAAACCCATCTATTTGTGCTGGGAAATCAGGATTTTTCTCCTTTACAAACACAGCAGTATGGCCCATGCTCCTGCAATTTTTCTTCCTGTAATTTCTTTCCCATATGCAGATGGTTCAGGTTACAGATGGGTGCTGGAGAGTGAGGCTGAACAGGACAGCTGTTGCTTCATATCACTCTTGCTATGATCCTTCATGTTTGTCATTTTTATGTCAATGTCTATTTGGTTTGTTTGGTTCGGGTTTTTTAAACATTTTGTTCAGTGGAAAAACAAGGAGGAAGGGAGGGCTGGCCAGCTGGCAAATGAGACAGAGCTTGAGAGAGAGAGGAAAGAATCGGGGCAATCACACTCTACTGAATTTTAATGGTGGGTTGGAGATTTTGTGGTTATATACTTAAGTAGTTAGCAATAAATCCGAGTAGGGTGATGTATGTAATGCCAAATTTAAGCTAACATTTTACATTCATACTCTTTCTTTTCATCTTTTGAATTGTTTACTATTCTCAAAACACAGACCAAAGTAATCACCGAAACAATTACAGAGAACATGAAATGTGGGTTGGGTGTGTGTTATGTGTGGTGGGGAGAGGTACAAATGTTCTTACAGAGGAGAATTTGGTCTAAAGAAGCACTATGGATTTAGCATGGTATGGTTTTGAAAACAAAGAAGGGCAACCCTACATAACCAATATCACTGTGGAGAATTTTAAAATCAAATACCTATGTCCTAAGAATAATTTAATACCTGTACAGTGTACAGGACTGAAATAACCATGTCTCAAAGCTCATCCAAGTTATTAAACTTCATCTTCTTTCTTCTGTATAGTTCCTCTGACAAGACATGGTTTGATACTGATAAGCTGGAATTTTTTTCTGGACTTGTCCAAAACAAGTGAATGTCAATGGGAAAACTTTCGTCTATGGTGTTGGGGAAGTCAGAATATGATGTAAGATAAAATTCAAGGCTTGATTTTGGGATCCTTAGAGAGTACACAATTTACCCAAACAAACCATCTCCTTCAATTAGTAAAGAATGAGTGAAAACAGCAAACATTCTCTGATATACTCTATCAAGGCTGCTTTAGACTGGGAGTGCAACTAACATTACTGCCATGGGTAACTGTGATATGGCTGTTCTTTATGAAACTGAGATTTAATCCTTATTGGCAGAGACGTTTTGGGGGCTGAAAAATATTCTTTTAAGGATGGATTTCCTTTATATTTACTAATGTGAAAAAAATAAAATAATTTTACTATGGACTATGTTGCATCAGCTTGTGTACATGATGCCTACTTTGTGGGAGTCCCAAAAAGTATGGTTCTACTTTTCATAGGCAGCTTCTCATTCACAATTAGTCACAGGCACAGACATTATCCAACCAACTGCCCTCAAAGGTACAGTAAACAGATAGCTAAACCCAAGTTTTCTATGTTCAAATTAAAAAATGTTAGGAAAACAAAGAAAAAAATAAACAAAGAAAAAAAATAAAGAAAGAAAGAAGAAAGAATTCAATGCAAAAAATAAAACTGTATGCAGATATCAGGACCAGATTATGCCTTCTCTTTCTCTCTCTCTCTTTTTTTTTTTTTCCTCATCAATTAGTACCACTTATTTTAATGGGATTGGTTTCTAGAGGGCTACTGCTGGTAGGGAAGTAAGATTCAGGAAGACAGCTCTGTGTGAACAATAACCCAAGCACCCATTTAACGTTAAGGACTACTTTAGGGCCCTAGAAGTTAATAGCTTTAAGCATTTGGTCAAAGTTAAGTATATGCTTAAAGGTTTCCTTGAATTACAAATCAAACCTTTGAACTTCAGTTTTGCTTACACTGGGTATTATTTTGGTGTTAGATTCATTTTAGGAAGATAGGAAAATAACAGTCATTCAAAATGATATCTTTTTTCAATTAAATGTTACCCATACAGTATATTCAGCACATCACCAATAAACATTTTTCTTCTTAATGTATATTTGACTGTATAAAACCCATTAAATGGAACTAAGCATACAGCTGTTTCAATTAGATTTTCTGGTTCTCTAATTCAAGCAAAAGAGCTTGAAGTTAAAAGAAAAATATATAACATCTTATTATCGACCTTAGTTTTCTATCAGTTTTAACTATGTTTTTGGTTGAGGCTTAGTTTTTACTTTGTGTAACATGATGACTTATCATGAGAAGTCTCCACTTCATCCAGAATTTCACCTGGGGCACCTGTGCACCTTTTCTGGCAACACTACATGACCTGGTGAATTAGGACGAATTTGGTGGCAGGGTCCCATTCAGAGACCTGACACCAGTGGATGTTTTCCATTCACTGCCAGCACAGGGCTGTAGAAAATGGCATGGAGAAGCTACCAGTTGTCATAGATAATAAGATACAGATAATTTATCCTTACTCAACAGCAGTTAAAGCAAAATAAGCAAGAAAGCCTCATAAATCTTTGCATTGGCTGAGTCCCAGAAGGCAGCTCAGCACCACCCAGGTGGGCCTGGGGAGAGGATCAGGGAGGAAAAAGTGCAAGAACACGTAGGTTGAGATAAGGACAGTTCACTAGGTAAAACAAAAGCTGAGTGCATGTGCAAAGCAGAATCAGGAACCTATTTGTTGCTCCTATTGGCAGGCAGGTGTCCAGCCACTCCCAGGAAAGCGGGGTTTATACTTGTAAGCAACAGGTTTTCCTCATAATGCAGAGCACTGTAATATGGAGAATCATTGAGGCCAATTTCTGTTTTAAAACCTGCTAAATTAGAAATGTGTCCACAAAATTAAATTTATCTCTGCAAGTCAAACCTAGATATTAGCAGGAAGTCAGACTTCAATTATCTCTAACTACAACCTTTCCAAGTCCCTATAATAACAGTTGTGTTATCTCATATTAATATTAGATATGTATTGTTATTCTAATAACTAATTATAGGACTCATAATGCTAATGATGGCAATTTAGTTTGTAAACCCATCTGTTCACTTTACCAGAGTTGTTTATTTTCTTTCCTGCTTTCAAAATACTCTTGATTTGTAATTAATCATGCATTTTGACTTTTTTAATTAGAGATTTGCAGGTTTGGGGGAAATAAAATAGAAGGAATGAACAGCAACTGGGATGGTATTGCAAAGAGCAAAGAGCTGGATTTCTGTGTCAAATCAATGTGATTTCAAGTGACCATTGGAAGAGTTGAGTAACTTCTGTCATAAAGAATTAGTTGATATTTTGCCATTATAAAGTATTATTGGAGAAGACTGGACAAATATTTCTGCTCTTTACATATGCAATTCTGAAGTAGTCTATGAGTATGTTATATACCGCATTTTCATTTCAGCAGAATTGACATTCATACTTATTGGCAGTGCCTGATGACTTGGGCCATTCCTTTGCAGGCTGGACCTGCTGAAACACTGCACAGGGAAGTGATCTAGGAAAGGCAAAATGTAGTCCATTGAAGATCCTAAAGTGCTGAAACATATTTTGTGTAATAAGTAAGTGTAGGTGCTCATGTATTTCCTTGTCTATAGTTCTCCAAAATTCTGTATTCTGCTATGACTCCTATCCATGACAGATCAAGTATTTGCTCTTTTTTTTTTTTTTGTCTTGTGGAAGCTTATTTTCACAATTTCTTATAGGACAAAATTATAATTTTTAAAGATGTTCAGAGCCTAACATTCTCATTTTCTCTTACCCTCCTGTTCATTAGCTGTATGTTGAGGAACAGAAGAATAATATAAGCACTTTTTAGAAAACTGAAGTTACAGAGAAGTAGAAATCTAGAAGGGCAGATGAAGGTCTTCCCTAAGTCCCACCTCAGGGAAATTAAAGTTTTCCTTTCAGTGTGTATTTGCAACTGCAGTCCCAGACTTTCCTGAAGAAAGGTCAGCATTTAGTTCAGTACTCTTTGGTCACTTGTATAATACTGCCCAAAATATCATAATGAGATCACCCAAGAAAAAATATTGTTTCTCTGCATTGATACTTGCTTCTTCAATTAATGTGAAGCACCATTTCTCAGGAATCAAGAAGATAAAATAGGACAAATTCAAATCATGGCACAAAACATTTATGATGTCTCCATTGGAGTCAGACTTTCAGCCATTGTAGACAAAAGACTCCTTTAAACTTAAAGATTGACACAAAGTCTGTTGTTTATGTCATTAAAGTTTTGTCCCTTTCATTTGGGATCTTTAAACTTAAAATTACCTTTTTTGGTGTTGTATTTCTTGGGTTTAATATTCAGAAGGCAAAGGTGGCTAAAACAATTAGCTGTCTGATGGAGAAAGTTTCCATTGAACTCCAAGAATAATTAGGTTATTCTATCTTGGATGCATTTTGGTATCCCATATGAGCATTGAAATAAATTGAAGGTAATGGAAACATTCAGTTTCTATGGTTTTATGCATTTTACTTGTATATTATTTGTAAAGCTGTAATGCGATTTGAAATCTTCTTTCTGATACCGTTTTTTCTCTTTAGTATATGTTTTCCCTACTTCTCAATAAGTGACAAGTTAAGTATTCTCAAACTTAATTCTCTTCTCAGTGGAAAAGAAAAGCAACAGGATCTGTATTAAAGCTTTTTGTTTGTTTTGGTTTGTTTTGGGTTTATATTTCTTTTCCTATTTATGTTCTTCTCATTTGCTAGTTTCTACAGGTTTTATAAACTAATATTTTTTATTCTCTGTTTTCTACGGTGTGCAGCTATTCCTGTAAAGACCAAGAATTTCACCCATATAAATAAAGTCTCAATCTATATTTTTGTTCTGTTAAATTTTAAATGTATAAGTATTTATCTGATTAATTGAAATTCACCACCTGCAATAGAAGACATGAGAGTGCTGTTTTTCATGGCCTTTTTATACAACAGCCACTGTGTTATGCTAAGTTTGAGTTTTGTGTGGTGGCTTTTATAGTTTCTTTCTTGACAGCAGAATATGCACTGCTGATCATGATGCAAAAAAAAATTAGTAAGAAAAAAATGATTTTTTTTTTTTTAAATTAAAAAAGGCAAGATGCATACCCTTTGTTCCATTTTTTTGTTTGTTTGTTTGCTTGTTTGTTGTTAGACAACGTTATGATCAGAAATGTTTGCTTTTGTCTGAGAACTGGATTGAGATCTTAGTCTACATTCCTTTGTTTCAGCATAGGATCAAAGCAATAGGTTTTCTATTTGCTACAGATCTTTTATCCATGGTGCAATGTGAAACATCAAACAAATCTCATTTGTTTTCAGCTAACACATACATAAAGAGACCAAGCCGTTGTAATTACATGCACGTAATCAAACTGAATTCATTTGGAGTTTTGTCTGCACAAGTAAAGCACATTTGTACCTGCAATGTTCACAACTAATGCCTGATTATATATACTGACGAGTGTTGGCTATGACACGTTAAACACCTTTAGGACAGATGTTTTTATTTTATGAACATTTTTCAGTACCAAACACCCAGCCCAAGTTGCTGCACTGGGTGGTGAAGGAAGCATGTTTTATTTATTTAGCTGTCTTTGCTATGAACAGCTTTCCACAGAAACATCATCTATTGTTTGGTTCTACTCCTCTGACTATCTGTGCTGCTAATCAGGATTTCCAAATGCTAAGTGTTAACACACAAAGCTTGGAGTTGAGAAATTCTGACTGTCATCACCAAGGGATTAAACACAGATTTATTCAGGTAACACAACAAATATTACTCTATGAGGTTTAAAACAAGTCATGCATCTAAATTATCAGACCTTCCCTGCATAGCAAAACAACCTTCTTGTGCACTGCCTTATAGATTGCATTGTTGGCCAAAATACTTCATTGTAACTTTTTTCTTTTTTTTTTTTCTTTATTTTTTTTCCCAGTCTTTTAAAAATATATGCATTGAAATGATATTATTGATATAAATTTAAAAAGATATTATTTTTGGTAAGTTACCAAATTACCAGGAGCAAATTAGCTCCTGGTGCACCCCTAGCCTTCTCACTGGCAGGGCAGCACAAGAAGCAGGAAAATCCTTGGCTCTGTAGCTCTGAGCATTGCTCAGCAACAACTAAACTGTTAGTGTATTATCGGCATTATTTTCATCCTAAATCCAAAACACAGCACTATACCAGCCACTGAAGAAAATTAACTTTATACTAACCAAAACCAAGACACAACTGCCAAAGACTGTGTGATATCTGAAGAGATGGTGAGCCACTGGGTGAGCATCAGAAGTTCCGGAGCAAATGTATCGGGACACCACATCGACTGATTTTTGGCTTCCAAGAAAATAGAAAAAAACGGTATAAGTGCTGTATTGCTGACAGGTAAGCTATGCATATTGCACCCCTTACAGCCTAATCTTGCCTGGGTGACTTTCCTAATTTTGAAGCCCCAGAGCTTCAAAACAGTGAACACTTCAATTGCATATAAGAGATGATCAGCTTTTTGAACAATTTATAGCTAAGGTAACAAGTTCTGAAATACACAGCTCATTTAATTTTGAAAAAAGGGTCTAGTTTAATTATTTATGCTGTATAAATCATGAGATTCTAACAGTCCGAAACATTATGATATTAAATCTTTGCAAAGAGACAGGAGGTGAAGGGAGAGACTCTTTTGTGTGAGTTATAAAGAGTGAGGATTAGCAAAATGTGGATTAGTAAGGGTCTGCTGCACTCAATACAGAATTTAGGCAGAATTATTTGCTGTTAGTATTACTTGCTTTCAGCTTATTAAAATTAACTCTACGGGTTAGTAAATAATAGAAAATGTATTTGATGAAAGAAATGCTAATTTCTCTTCTAAGAACATTACTTGAAATTATTTAACAAATTCCATTTACTATTATCCATTAATAAACAGTAGGAAACATTCAATAGCTAATAGGACATGTTCGAACCTTGATGAAGCACTTGAAGCAGCTGGATTGTATTTTGGGTTTCATCATTAAATGTTTTGTATCTCTATTCAGTTTTGTTTGAAATAAATTTCATGCAGATAAATGTTGTGGGAAAGAAGAAACACTTTTTGTCCTGAGCTTCTGAGCTGAGCACTTGGTTGACAGTTAGCACTAAGACAAATGAGAGAGTGCTATGCTCAAATATGTAAGGTCTATTAAATGAAAAATTAGGCTGAAGTCTGACAGCCAAGGGAAAAGTCCATTTCTATTCCCCATGAAAATCAGAGGAAGTCCAGAAAAGTACTCATGGAGGTGAATGTGCAGTGGGGACTGTGAGATGCTATGTGCTACAGCAGGAAAAGCACTGCCAAGGTCCTTCATAATTACCAGGAAGTGATAAACCTGCATGTGATGTGACATGGTAATGGGGAAAAACTGGGTCAAATAGGAATTGACCATTCTGTTTTATGGGAGGCATAGAAATCTGGCACCAGAGACAACCAGCTATTATTGTTGTACCTAAATCTTCAAATCTTTCAGGAGAATTACTGAGCAAACATTTGTCAACATGATTCTGTTCCTGTTTTGTTACCTCTATCCTTTATTGCTTCCATTTAATTACAGGGTAATCACTGCTGAAGTTTATGTTCCTGTCAGTTGTTTTGCTTCTGTAGGAATATCCATCAGCAGCCCAGAAATCTCAGACAGTCTCAAACGTCAGCTTACACCTATTTTTCATTTTGACATGGTTTATAGCAAATGTCATTACAAGATTGCATTTAAGCTTCTGGTGACAGCATGTCATTGTTCAATTAAGTTTTTAGACACCTCTTCTAATTGTATATTTCAGCACTTCATATTCCTATGATTGCTGCTCCTTCCTTGCCTTCCCCAGTTGTTTAAAAGGCGGTAAAATCTCTCTCCTTACCTCAAAATGCGAAGATTGTGTTGATTTTATTTTGTAAATGTAATATTCGATTTACACTCACAAAATTTGCAGGTTGACAAGTCCACACAATACAAAACTTTCTCGTGAATCTGAGGGACAGGGTAATTTATACATTGCTGGAAAATTGCAGCAATGATATTTCCCCACAAGATGCTGTTTGGGGGAAATTCCTGTATGGATAAAGGCACATTTCAATCACTCTTGTAATGATGCCCTTGACTGCTCTGCTGAAGTACTCATAAACCATTCCAGTCTCAAGGTTTTCTTTCAGGTAGATGTTAAATGTTAATCAGTAAATGGGTAGATAAGGTGTCCTACTGTCATGAGATTTCTTGATGCAGCAACATAAACAAGGAGGTGCAAAGAAGCTGATACCAGATGGATCATCTCTCTCATCCACCTGATGAAGACAAACAAAAACTCCATACAGGCAGTCTGAGACAGTTAATAGCACTGTTGTAGTTCTCATTACAGGTTCAAATGAGTTATTGGTTAGCATACAAAAGCAATGTCTGGCAAGGATTTAGCATACAAAGGATTTAAAGAAATACTCTTGTTTTCTGATATGATCTTTGTGATAGTAACACAGCCACAAACACCTTATGAAAAAAAAAATAATTAAAAAACACAGAATTTTGCATGCAAAATATTAAAAAAACTTGATGAGAAAATATATTTTCCAACAACATTACTTAGTTACTTACTACAAACTGACAAATGCATGTGCAAAAAAATGTCTTCTCAGAGGGTAACATTTTATGTGAATTATTTAATTACATTTCTGGAGATTAGGCAGGTTTTTTTCCTATTAAAGAAAGAAATAAGAACCTAAGTTAAATCTTTGTATGTGTGGAATATATCTAGATATTTATTCTTATCCCTTCTTGTATTTTCCTTTTGCCATTCTCTTTCTATTTTTCTAACCACCTTCTCTTCCTAATTGTATTCGCATTCTTTCTGTGTATTAGATAATTTTATATTTTCTTTAAAAGCAGCATCAATCTATTTCAATAGTGTGAAGTCCATTTTCTTTTTAAGTTTTGTTAGCCTGAGTTATTTTTCATCTCGTACAAGTCATTATATCTTCAGAGATTTTGTTATCTCTGAGCTCATATACACCAAGATAAGATTTGAGATCCTTTCTTCTTCTTTCTTTTTTTTTTTTTTCCCTTTTACTATGTTCTTTTTTATTTTTTTCCCCTCATATGGTCTTTGGGTTAGCAAACGAAATCTTCCTTTGTAGTGGAAAGTGTCTGACTCATCCAAGTACATCTTAATAGATAATAATATTGCCTGTGGCCAGGATTTTCAAAGATAGGTAAATTACACACCTATCTATCTCCCATCAGCTTTCATAGGATCCTTCATGACCTTTGAAGAAAACTGAATGTTCATTAATTTTGATTTTCTTCCATTTAGAGTTTGTATTACTCTTATAATAACTACCTCAGACACCAAAGAAAGAAAAAGTGAAGAGCAAATGTTTGTTTAAAGAAAGGTAAGTGAGCAAGGGAGCCACAGGCCAGGGAACAAATGAGTTCCTTCCTGAGCGAGAACAGAGGAATAAAAAAGATTACAAACATCAGTAGCTGAAACTCTCATAACAGTGGAAATTATTAAGGGAAGAAATCTAGGCAGAGAATTTGTGTTCATCTAATCACAGACTTTTTGGAAAAATCTAACAAAAGTCAATATGTAAAAAAAAATAAAATAAAAAAAAAGGAAGCTGAAAACAGTTGTTTTCATGATTTAATAGAATGCAGTCTCAACAGCAGAATTTGTTAGTTGTTAAGTTGTTTAGGAATATTAAAGGTTTTTCATTACTTGAATTCTCTAAGTCAATGTTAAACACTTTCATGAAAGACAAGTTGTAGCTCAGCAGCATGATGGATGTGGTGATACAAAGCCTGAAACCTTTTGGCTGTGCTGTTTGGAGGTCAGACCAGAAACTCTTATAGAACTCTGTAGTCACAAAGTATTTTCATTCAACCATTTTAGTGTTACATACATATTTAAGAAAGAATACCTTTGTACAAATGAAAAATGAAAGAGAAATTTTTACCAGCTTTGACCAGATCTACACAACTGTTCCAAGGAGAATAAATAAATAAAATAAACGTGAGAAACCCTCTGCACTTTCCTCATGCTTATCATGTTCCTCAAGGCAAGGCAGAGGAAGAAATAAATAAAGTGATAGCTTGGGGGAAGTATCTCTGGAGAACATGGCATTGTCATTGGGAAAATAAATGAGGAAGGATGACATGTAGGAGAAGAATTAGCAAAACTGTTCCTGACATTTGTTAGAAAGAAAAGAGCTCCCAGCAGCGTTGCAATAATGCAATACTTTAACACATGTAGGAGCACCACAGAAACTGAAAAGCCATCAACCTTCATTGACAAAGAAGTAGGTGATTAATTTTGTTTAAATGAAGTTTTAATTGGCTGCTTGAAAAAAAAAAAAAAATCAAGTTTCACCCAGTTATATTGTATTGTTTGTTATTACTTACATCTGTGTTAGAGCAAAAAGAAGGAAAACTGTAAAGAAAAGGAAAGGAAAACTGTACTCCAACTGTAAACTAGAACAAGCTGAATATAGGTTAAGAACATCGCATTTGACAAAAGACAAAATCAGCTATGCAGTACAACTTAGTTTCTAAACTCTACAGCCTTTAGCTAGATCTAAAATTCTGTTTCTTCAAATCCCTATCCCTGAATTCACATTTGCTTCTAAGGCTTGCAGAGAAATGGAGAATTTGAAGTCCTGTGATGTGATCATTTCTCTTGTTGCTCTTGAATCTGAGACTTCTGCTTCTGCTCATGCTCACAGCAGCTCCAGCAGACACTGGTAGACAGAGCATGAAAAAAAAATCCTCTGCGGGAGTACAGAAGGCAAAAAAATGATGGTCCTTGACCAAGGCAAAATAAACTCAGAATTTGTCAGATTCAGGTGTGACTTGTGGCAAGTCACCTGTCTAAATATTCATAGGAAAAAAGTGAGTATTTGATTACTTTTAAATTGGGTCCTTAATCTCTGTAGGCCTCATATATTCTTTTCCTTACAGAAAAGGGTTTTAGAAGTATAAACTTACATGTTCTTAGAGTCCTTAGAACTGTTTAGAGAAAACATTCAGACTGGTATAAACGAAAAAAAGTTTAGAAATATGTACTGGTTTAATTTAAAGCCAAATAAGAGAACTTTGGAGACTGCAATTCATTTCATTCATGGGCGATTCATTGAGATTTATATCAGTCATCATAAAAGCTTGGATGCCAGTTCCAGCTTTCCAACAATCAGAAAGCTGGAGTGAATTTTCAGTTTGGGATTTGCTTTAACTGCCTAAAGTCTCACAATAGAAATTAAGTGCAGTCAACCAGGTACTGTGTTGCATAGGTCACTACTTCTGCATTTGTTTCAGTGTTTTAGTTGAGTTTACCTCCTGACCAGCTTTAATTTGCAAATATAAATGTTTATGACTACAAAATTGTGCAGACAAGCTACATTTTTGTACAGATGGCAGAGTTGGAAATTCAAGTCTCTGATTCATTTATGCAAGTGCCTCTCTTTGCATATCAAATGGCTGGATATGAG